CTGTCCATTAACATCCTTAACTTTGTTTTTCACACTTACCTCAAGTGAAAAGTCTTACCTACTTTTAGCAAGCCAAAACAAATACCCAAAAGCTGAGAAGTCAAAACGCATGTAACAAAACCACAAATTTAGCAATGAAATAAATGTTTAAAAAAAATAAAGATCTTTTAGGATTCTCCAAAAATGGTAATTGACACATCAAATGAAGAAGAGTAAACCTTCAATAACTTTTGGATGATGAAAAAAAAAATTTTTCAGTTATAAAGGTATTTTAATTTTTTAATTTATAAGCTCTCTTTTTAAGCAACAGTGGTTAATGACAACTTAATAGTTGCTGTATAAGGTTAGAACTAATTAATCTTCCTGAGCTTCCTCATTTGCAAAATGGAGTAATATCTATCTAATATGATGAATATCAAATGAGACATATGTAAAATGTCCAGCACACAGCTGACAATAAACCCATGTGAAACCCTTCAGATCATATATAAAGCCAAATATTCTTAATAGTGGAAGAGTTGAGGGAGACAAAGTACATGAATTCTCTGAAAATGCATGCAAAACTGTATGCATATATACTTATGTGCATTTTACTTGGATTTTTCATCAGATCCTCAAAGGAGTCCATCACCCCAAAAAGCATAAAAGCCTATTTTATAATAGCCTTTGGCTTTATTTCTTCTGTTCCCAGATTTATAGGGCTTATAAACTTTTATTGGAATCTCTACATACAAGCTAAATTTAAATTAACAACAACAAAAGTTCAATTAAAAACATGGTTATGGCAAGACATGTATTCTCCTTTTATTTCTCTTTTAAAAAAATAAACTTAAATTCATTTGGCTCAAATTATTCGCCAACCTTGCCATAAATTAAAAACAAAAAACAAGAAAACAAAACCCAAACTCAAAACTAAATTTTAAAAACCTAAACGAGAAAACAATAGACACACACACACACACACACACACACACACACACACTCTCTCTCTCTCTCTCTCTCTCTCTCTCTCAGGAGTAAAGCCCTATTACTTTTATAGTGAAGTAACAATTGTTCCTTCTTTGGAGTTAATTTTTCAAATTACTTCATTCTCTCATTCTGACTCAAAGTTAGCATCCATATATATACAAAATATATAAATATACATGTTTATATACATGTTATATATTTGGAGTTAATTTTTTATATACATGTTATATATTTGGAGTTAATTTTTTATATACATGTTATATATTTGGAGTTAATTTTTCAAATTACTTCATTCTCTCATTCTGACTCAAAGTTAGTATCCATATATAGATAAAATATATAAATATACATGTTTATATACATGTTATATATTTA